CGGCAGCCAGAGTGCCGGGAGCAGGGCGGAGAGCCCGGCCGGGGCTCTCTGCGGTGGCCAGAGCGCCGGGAGTAGGGCAGAGAACCCGGCCGGGGCTCTCCACTCTCCCCGGCAGCTGGAGCGCCGCGGGGAGGACGGCGAGCCCAGTCGCGGCCATGCTCTTGGGCCGGAGCGCCCCACCGCGCTGCCCCCCTCCAGGCGCCGCTCCAAGCACATGCTTGGTGGGCTCGTGCCTGGAGCCGGCCCTGAGTGGCGCAACAGACAGCACACACATCCATATTTTGGCACAAGTCCACCTTGCCACAGAGTACTCCAACAGAAAGGGCTATTTTTCCCTGGTTACACAAGACGCTTCACTGACATCAAAGTTGGCTGGTTAGGGAAGGTGCATGACGCACACATCTTTAGGAATACAGGACTGTTCAGAAAGCTACAAGCAGGGACCGTCTCTCTCAATCGACCATTACTATTGGTGATGTTGAAATGCCTGTGTAGCACCGACAGACCCCAGTCATTGGTGGGCAGAATCGAACCTGGGACCTCTCGAGCTTAGTGCATGAGCCTCTACTGCATGAGCTAAAAGCCATATGGTTCTTAGCTATGGCTGTATAGCAGACTCATTAATCTCTCTCTAAGTGGTCTTGGTGCCACTAGATCAGACGGAGCCCCACATCCAGAAGGTGTATGGGTTACACCAATAGTGATCCTGCCTACCCCTTACTCCTAACTCATGAAGACATACACCGGCCACCTCAACAGCAACCAAGGAGAGAGATTCAGCAACAGGCTCAGCGGATGCAGAATGATTGTTGAATGTGCTTTTGGTAGGCTGAAAAGGCACTGGCATTGTTCACTCACTAGATCTCGAAAAATATCTCAATGGTTATAGCTGCCTGTTGCTTCCTGCATGATATTTGTGAAACAAAGTGGGAGAATTTGCCGCAGGGGTGGAGGGTGGAGCAGTTGTTTGCTGAGTTTGAACAGCCAGACACAAAGGCTATCAGACAAGCTCACCAAGGAGCTATATGATTTAGGGAGGCTTTGAAAGAGCACTTCAAGAGCGGATCACAGTAATGTGGTGTGTTGTAGTATGCTTAGCATTGCACTGCAGTGTGGGGGCCTGTTAGGAACCATGTGGTGCTTGCCGCACATCTGTACAAATATTAATGCCAATGCAGCTAATGATGTGGGGTGCTTGCTGTACATTTATGATGACTACACAGTTTGCCACTGATGATATGGGTTGTGAGTGTGCAAGACTATTACATTCACTGCCAGCAGGCATTATATGTTTGAATCAGTTATGAAAACAGCACCTAACAAACAATCTGAAGATGATGATAGCAAATACATTTTAAAGTTAAAAAATGGTTGGAATTAATAAGGGAATTAATTAATAAGGGAAAGGAACATTGCTGTCCACTGTAGCTACACATACATCAACTATGGCTCTCATGGGCCAGTGTATGTGAAGTTGTGGTGGTCCATTCTTTCCACCGGTGTGGAGCAGTAGGCGTGCTGGCCCTGAGGAATGTTGAGGTGGAGTGTAGGGTGGTGCTATGCTGCAGTTCTCCACTGACTTCAATAGCAGTAGAGCCAGAAGAATCTGCAGCATCTGCGTTTGTTGACCAAGAAGTTCCATTTTGTCCTGTTCCATCTCCCTCTCCTTTTCCTGTTGGAACTCCTGGGCTTTTCTTCTCTCCCCACTTTCCTTCGCTGTACAGTCTGGAGCATTCACCCTCCAGGCTCTCTGTTCAAGGTTGGATGCAGCACTGGCTTGCAGCATTTCAAAGAGCATGTCCTCCCTCATCCTCTTATTTTTCCCTCGTATCTGGGGGAGTCGTTCCGCTGGTGTGGAGGGGTCACCTCTGAAGGCCGCAATGGTTTCAGCTACACATATAAAACAGACTTGGTCTATGTGACTGGGTGCATGAACCCCACAGTGGTGTGGCGAGGGCAGGACCAGCTTCAGGGTTTTTGCTCTCCCAAGCAGTGGAAAAAAAAAGAAGAAGCCGCGATCGCAATTGCGATTGGCGGCACTCCAGCGGCAGCTCCACCACGCTGCTTTCTTCTTCGGCAGTAATTCGGTGGCAGGTGCTTCCCTCTGAGAGGAACCCGCCTCTGAATTGCTGCCGAACAGCCCGACGTGCCGCCCCTTCCCCTTGGCTGCCCCAAACACCTGCTTGCTTGGCTGGTGCCTGGAGCCGGCCCTGGGCGAGGGTTAAGGGACTGCTGTTGGCACAGGAAACCCCGCCTCTGTTGGACATGCTTCCTGTGGAGAAAGCATTCAAAAGGGAGCAACTCAGCTAAGTCTGGATGGACAGAGGAGGAGAACAATTGGGCACACAACTAGGTCGACACAAAGCATCTTATGTTGACCTAACTTAATAGTGTAGACCAGGCCTTAGGGTAGTAGAGTGCCCTACATACCTGCACCCTAGGTATATATCATACAGGCTGAAGCAGTGCCCCCAAAGTACACTAAAAACAGCAGAGTAGAGTCCTTCTGCAGAGGCTTTTCCTGCCACAGTGAAAGCCTCTGACAGCGGGGAAAGGCTTCAGCAGGGGGAAAGGAGCCAGCAGCTGCATTGGGGTGCGTGTCCTATGATGACTATGCCACTGTGACGTTCGGGGGATCATTCAGACCAGGAAGGGGTTCTGATCACCATCTGCCTTGTAACTTTGGATGCCTCAGTGCTATGCTGCTATGGCTCAGAGCCTCGATACCTATAGCCAACCCACATGCATAAGATCTCACCCTGGCTCTCACAGCCCAGTTATGCATTACAGGGTGACCCCAACAGTCCTGAGTACCCCCAAATCCATCTACCCTGAGTTCTTAACTACCAGACACTTAGACTTTTCTCCTGTAGTTCATCACCTCTGAAGGTGTGAAAACTTTGCTCACTGCCTTAATATCTCTAATTAGTCAATTTGTGGCACAGAGTTGCTCCTGGGTACTGGACATTGGTATTTTCTCCAAGATTCCTGAAAAAGAGTATTTTCAGTGTGCTGTTTAGCTGCCGCTGTTCAAGCAGGTTTGAAACTGGTTATACAGTGTAAAATAAATAAGTTGCACAGCCTGCACATCACTGATTTCTCCTCCAACAAGAAAGTCAACTTCAGGACTCTCCCATCTGCTACTGCTTGGCAAAGAGGTTTGAGCATTGGCCTGCTAAACCCAAGATTGTGAGCTCAGTCCTTGAGGGGGACACTTAGGGATCTGGGGCAAAATCAGTACTTAGTCCTGCTAGTGAAGGCAGGGGGCTGGACTCAATGACCTTTCAGGGTTCCTTCCAGTTCTATGAGATAGGTATATCTCCATATATTTAAAGGAGCAACAATATGGAAAATACTTAAGGAAACTCAGATAAATAGATTAAGGAGAAAATAACTGCTCAAGTTATAAATGCCTCTAGGCCTGATCCTGACATTGCTGTAAATTAGGAGCATTTCCACTGCAACACTGGAGCTATGCTATTGTAAAACCTGTGGGAGACAAAAAGCTCAGGACGTCAGTCCTCACCCACAGAAACACGGCCAGATCCAAAGCTCATTGAAGTTAATGGAAAGACTCCAATGGGCTTTGGACCAGGCTCTAAGGGGACTGACCTCCCAGACAAAGGGGATTTAGTGTTTTCAATTCCTACATCTTTTTTCAGATTTCTGTCTCCCTCACTAGGAATCTTGACTACTGTTAATACCCAGAAATCACAGAGATGAGATAAAGAAAACCATTTTATCAAAAAGTCTTTTACATAGCAAGTTAACTTACCTTCACCCATTCACAAGTTCATATGAGTCATAGTTGGTGCTTTATTGTTATATTTTTCAATTTAAAAAAAAAGGACAAAGAAGGGAAGTAACCCTAATTATCATTACAAGGACTATAGGCTGAACTAAAACCCCTACGCAAAATATCCAGTAGAATTTGAAGATTGTGTAAGAGAAGGCCAAGACTGTGCTGCGATGACTGATGAATTACTATTCCCCCCTGAGCTTAAGTCTTTTAAGAACAGGGCTGAGTAGGAAATCTGAAATCCTGGAAAAATAGATGATTTACTTATTGAGTTAAAGCCCCATTATGAAACGTACTATAGTGAAAATATACTAAGTGGTAAATCTACTGCTTTCTCCTAGGGAGTGCTGACGTTTTCTGTACTGGATGAAAGAAGCAAAGCTCAGCAGGGCTCTTCCAAATGCTTTTTCTTATATATATATATATATATATATATATATATATATATATATATGTGTGTGTGTGTATATATACTACACACACACACACACACACACACACACACACACAG